ACTAATTGTATTGATAACTATTATGTAATTTCTGGAAATAAATGTCCACGCGCAAAACTTTTCAGCACCCCCACGTACCGAAGAAATTTTGCGGAACGGACGACTCTGTTAAAGTGAATTTCACTGTGTATTATTTACGTTGTTGCTATTACTGTTCATTTTTCTTATGGTATATTAATATGGAAGAAAGAAAGTGGGAGATATTAAATTATAGTAACTAGATATTAACTATTTGTGACACGTTCTATTATTTATTATTATCATTTGATCTATATCGTCTGATCCTTTTTCCCAGCATCGCCATCAAAAATTTACGGACACGTGATTACTTCTATATGTAAGATTTGAGGTTAACGTAAAATTTTTGATGGTGATCCTGGGGTAGTTCGTCTGATCCAGCAAAAATTTGGTCTGCTGTGGCTAATAATGGCTTTAAATCACGGGACTGTTGATTTTAGACACCATTAACTTATTATTATGTGAAGTTCCTACTATAAATTCGTAATATCTTCTCCCCTTCAATAGATACGTCTTCTGGGCCTTTATTCTCTTCTATATGTATGTAGATAGATAAAAGCAGCAGCTTAAACTGGGCTTTAGTGAGCACATCGTTGTGAATAAAAGTCCTTCGTGATACTTTACTATCAATTTGCGATAGTTATAAAAATTGCATGGAACATGCAGAGTTAAAAAAAAATATTCATACTTTAATTGCTGAATTGATTCTTTCAAATCACGACACACTGCATAATAATAAGAAAAATATATTGGTTACACAAATCACAATCTTTCAATATAAATACCTATACCCCGATAACTGAATGTAAAACTTTTTAATCAATCACTATACACGTAACTAATAAACAGACGGAGCAACATGAATAACCTTGATATCTCTACTACTCCTCCTGATGCCACCTCTATGGCAATCGTGGAATCAGGACACGGTAAGTCTTTATTCTTTTATCTATAAACCATAGGGAAAAGAACGTTTCTTAAAATATTCTTCACTTTAGATTTGGGAATGCGTTGCAAATATGGCGACGAGGAGCTTGAAGACACAAATTATTTACAACGAAATTCTACTACCATACAAGTATGTCTAACGGTTTAGTTTTTTTAAGGTCATATATTAATATTAATATTTACCTCTGATGTAATCTTTCATGTTCTACATCAGGAATCATCAAACACCGTTTCAAACAGACTCCAATGGCAACCCGAGAGCAATAAAAGTACCGATATCAAAAGTGACTACATTAGCAATAACAACTGCACCGGACGCGCTATGCTTCATATACTCGATGAACTGCCTAAAGAAGAGAAAGAAGAGAAGAAAAAAGAAAAAAAGGAAGAAACAAAGGGGGAAAACGAAGAAACGAAGGAGGGAAGGAAGAGAAAAAATAAGAAGAAGAAGGGAGCAAAAATTGAGGAAATTCATATGTCAACATCTGGACTAGCTAGCCACCTGGATGACCATTCTAGCACCAGTCCGCAACAAACGTCCAACAACAGTGAACGTGTCATGGAAGATCAATCGAAAAATAGTAATAGCCTCTTTCGGCGCATCAGTTATATCCCCAGAATCACAAGATAGAACTTATCTGGTCAGGATTCGACAGGAAAACGACTCACATCTCTTCCCGAAAGATCAGAGTGGAACAATAAGTCAAAGTCGACGACAATGGGAATACGGGAATTGTGCGAAAACTATTCCCTGGATTTACCTAGCAAAGCTGGGACCCAATATTCCGATCGCTACGCGCACAATAAATGTGCGAACGAAACAAATAATTCCACCTTGTCAGAATTGTCAAACTTGCCAGATTACATTTGTGAACATTTAGGTAAAAATAATCAGTTTGGGTTTCACAAAATTACAAACGATGATTCATTCGACGTTATAGGCGATGAATTTATTGAATATCTTAATGAGCAATTTGGACTGACTGATATTAAACCAGTATTCATGGATCGTTCTGGATTCGTCATCTGGTTATTAGACAAAGATGGTGATATGTATCAATGGAACGAGATGGAGATAAATCTTCTATACATGGGAAAGAATCTTGTAGATGGCCTCACGAATTACTTTATGCATCCAGAAAATATTTGTCAAGTCATGAACAATGGTGATCGAATTCCAATAATGGAATTTAAACGCCTTGTAGATGAAGGAATGTTATAAATTGATGGAAGTTAGAACAATGCTTATCTTGCACATTTATAATTGACGTATTGAAATAATAGGACTATTCGCTTATATTGCATATTTGTCAAATTAAAACAAAAATAATAAAATATATTCATGCTTGCAGTACTGTAGTTAATAAATACAAAGCTGTTAATATGTTTTATCTGGTGAACAAATGGAAGTTGAAGTTTGCTACGGAATTTATTGTGAGTATCAGACTGAAATCAGATGTGAGGAAAAATTTAATGATAATAAAGAAGAAGAAATTATTAGTACTAGTGACAAATTCTTAGAACATACGTTATCGATTAATTCATCAATATATTTTGTAGCCTCATTAGTGACGGGATCCCATGTATAATCACGTTTGATCTGCAATCTATCCATTAAAAGCTTGTTTGTTGTGTCGATTATGTTTGAGCAGATTGGTTCACTATAATAAAAAATGATGAAAATAGTCAGTTAATAATATAACATAGGAATATAAATTAGCTTTAATAGATATGTTTTTACTTACTACGTGGATTTCGTTCGCTCTTTTTCTTGTCTTAGTCGTTCAAGTAAGTCTTGATTTTTAGATGTAGAGCGAATTTGATGAGGCGGAGTACGTGGTATATCACACTCGGAATTATTAACATCGTTTATATCACTAGTCATTCTGTAGCTCCCAATTGGCATCTCCAAGGATTGTGAACCTAATGATGATGGTGTAGCTTTCGAATGTGTAAATCCTTCGGTTCTATTATTGTTTATGAATGGATCATCATCCTCTGCTGATGGTTTTGGTCTGCTCACCAACAAGCAGTAGAAATTTTTAAAGAAATTCACTCCTAATGATAAGGTTGCATTCCATACAAATTTTTTTTTTACCTTTTTTGAAACAGCAGAGTCTACCGATTGTTTATTTTGTAGTTATATTAAAAAACGCTTATATAAAGTTCAAGGCAACATTTTTATACAGAAAAAAACTTTACTAACCTTTTTCGAGAGGGATAGATTTTTTTTTTACGCTTTTGTCCAGATGATGTATCTGCAGATTCTGCGCGTGAATTAACTTTACCAATATATTCGTTGCTTTTTTGACTACGAGAAGCATCAAGCACATTTATGCGTCAATCTGCGATTTTTTGTCGAAAATATCCTAAAAAAAGGTTGGCAAGTGAGAACACAACTGATTATGGTATCATTAACACTTTAAGGAACCCTATTCAAGTCCATACACACCTCCTTTATCGCCAACTGTCTTTCTAACTCAAAATTTTCCCAAAAGCTCGTAGCTTCAGGTGGGTGTTTCTAAGAAACTTGAAACAATTAGTAAATGTAAATCAAGAAGGTAGTACAACATTCCATACATAACTCATGAGCTTTCTAGGGAAACGACACCACTACTCACAGGAGGAACGACACCACTACTCACAGGAGGACCGACACCGCCTTAAGCTGTGCAACAGCAGAGAAGCTCATGAAATGTCGCACTAGTGAACGACACACCATACCCTAGAAGGACGACACCGTCCAGAGGTCGTACACATCTCTCTTTTTATGAACAAAAAATAAGGTTTAAATAAAATGTTGACGAACCTGTTGAATCAGACAAGTTGCAATTTCAAATCGCGTTTTACTATTGTCGTCATATATCTTCTGCCTTCTTCATCGACAAGAGTACCTACCAGTCAAAAAGGTCAGAAACCGCTTCCGCCATATGGATTTTCGCTTATCTAACGAACCTTTAGCTGAATGAAGATGGGGTTTCATTGTCTCAAGAAACCTATATACGACCACTCTAATACTGGAGTACTATCAAATTACGACTGAATTACCGTAGAGCACTGAATATAGTACCCCCCTAAAGTAGTACCCCCCTAAATTAAGACCCGGGTACAATTCAAGAATT